TCTCTCTCTCTCTCTCTCTCTCTCTCTCTCTCTGTGCGTGTGTGTGTGTGAGTGTGTGTGTGCGTGTGTATGTATGTGTGTGTGTGTGTTTGCGCGCGCGTGTGTGTGTGTGAGTATGTGTATGTGTGTGTGTGTGTTTGTGTGTGTGTGTGATCGGGGAAGAAAAGATGAGGATCAATCTACATAATTTATGGGCCCCCTCTTCAAGGCTTGTGACAAAGTGTCCCACTCTCTCGAGGACGGTGTGTCTGTCTCACCAGCGATATTGTTGTACGCGGGCCACTGTGAATGGACACTCTCTTCTTCGTTTGAACCAGAGAGATAGCGCCTGTCCACTACCCATGACTTCTTTCTTCTTCTTTTTTTTGTTTTGTTTGTTTGGGGTTTTTTTTATAAAGAAAGGAAAGGAAGTGAGAATAAAAGGGGGGAAAGGGATTTTTTTTAAAGGGAGAGGGGAGGAAAGAACAAACATGCAGGCTGCTTAAGGCCGTGTCCGACCTTGCAGTATCTGATGTCTGTGGGGGGGCGTGGGGAAGATGGGATGGATGAGATGGATGAGAGGGGGTGGGGTCTTTTTAGGTCGAGGGGCGGGGGAGATTGGTAGAGGGAGGGGGTTGGCTGTGGCGCGTAAATGAGCGGTGGGGACGGTGTGGAGCGGGATGTAAAAGGTTTGTTTGCCTTGGTAAGGAGTGTATTATGTTGTCCCAATACTCAACACCAGTGTTTGTCAACCTTTTTTCAATAGCCAGTGCCCACTTTAGCAACCTCTAAGAGACCAACGTTTTCGTTCCTCCCACCTACATATTATTTTAAGGGGGTCTTTAAATGATACCAGTCACTACCCATGTCACCCCTACGCCCACCAAAATCACGACATTGCCTACTAGTGAATGATATAGCTCAGGCCGGTTAGCCCTGGTCTAAAACGAAGACAACAGGTTAAGGAAAGAGAGAAGAAGGAGGAGATATTCCCAAAATAATCAACTATGAGGAACATACCCCTCTGGGCGATGAAGTAGACACTAACACCCTCTGCTGACAAGCGATGGTTCTGTTCTTATATATTTCCCCTTATCCATAGGCATAACTGAATTATTGGAAAGTGTTTTGAGAGCAAGCAGGACAATTGTTTTAAATTCAATCCAAGACTTAACAATAATAAAAACAATAATAATAATCATAATAATATAATATTAATAATAATGACAATAATAATAATAATAATAATAATAATAATAATAATAATAATAATAATAATAATAATAATAATAATTAATAATAATAATAATAATAATAATAGATAAGATAGCATTTGCGCAAATCCCCGCGAATGAAAAAGGACAATTCTTAAGGAGTGAGAAAAGATCTATTTCAGTTCTTGTCAGTATGTCTGTGTTTTAGCGCCTAGAAAAAATGGCAGCTACACTGTGCTTCTGAATGCTTTCAGTCAGGGTTGTTTTGGGTTTTTTTGGTACATGTTTTACGGCGTTTGTAACAGCATAAGGTCATATGAGCGCGCGGGACACACCAAACTTTTTCAGTTGGTAGGAAATTTTGAATTTTGACATTGTGGCGGCCGAAGCCTACTCTTGTCTATTTTACACCACCAAGGGATCTTTTATCATTCGCAACTTGCACTCAGGACCTCCGAGATTTTTTGCCCTTGTCCGAGAAGGCTAGGTGAAGATCTTTCTTACTAGAAGATCAAGGGTGTGGCTGAGAGACAGCAGTTAGAAGGAGCCAAGGAGTAGCAGTAAAAGGGCTGTAGAAAGAGTCAGGAGCCCAGAGGAGTGGGCAAAGGAGTTGGGGGCAGAAAGTGGAGACGAAAGCAGAAGACAGAGTATTGCAGGAGAGCAGGAAAGAAAGTGAAAGGAGACAATTTTAGAGAATAAAATGTTTCCGTTGCTACCCGGATTCGAACCCGAGACCTTTGAATGAGAGGACAACGCCTTAACCTCTAGGCCACGAGAGCCCCCTCACTCAGATCTGCTGGGGTAATTAACTATAGTGTCCAAAAGAAACTTGAAAATGTAATCACTCCAAAGTCGTATTATAGTCTTGCACTACCCGCTCATGCAGCATACCAATTTAAAGCTAAACAAATTCTGGAACATATTATGAAACACTAATATTTCATCTATTTTGAGAGCTGCCCAAGATATGGTCACTCAAATTAAAAATCAGGCTTGGCAAGATTGTATTAAATCAAAGAAACGTAAAAATGAGTTCGCGCGTGTATCGAGGTGTGTTTCAACATTAGTGGAATGGACAGTGAATATCAAATAAAAAGAGAGTATTATTGTTGTCTCTGAAATGAACAGAATCTTCTGGTGATGTTTTCAAACAGATTGGAAAACAAAGCAGATACAAATATTTTTATTAATGTAATGCGCATTGAGCAGTTTTTTAAACATGGAAATGCGCTGAATAAATGCTCTTTATCATTATTATTATTATTATTATTAT